TCCATATCAATTCAGTCGCAAACTTTTAGTAGCGTGTTCAGCCAAAACCGATTGCAGATTCGGACATACAAGGTAATCGGTTACCTTGCACGCAACCGGGGTACTCTAGAAAAATATCTTAGTCTCATGCAGCCAAAGCGGAATTTTGTAAAAAATTCTTTTCCAAAATGATGGAGAAAATTTTTTCTGGAATACCGTGATTCAAAATTTGTTGCGTACAACGTAACCGACTGTGGAGAGTCCGAATTTGCGATCAGTTTTAGCTGAACATGCTTTTAAAATTTCTCGACTTAATTGATATGCTTTTGGCGAAAAAGTTGGATGATATTATTAGCGAATAGACCAGCTTCGAGTGAGCATACAAGAAACGAATATTACACATGCATCGAATTGAACAGTTTCACTCTTTTAATGTACTCAGACTTTTTTTTTCTGATTTTGTTTTTAAGACCTTTTTCTGGGACCTTCAACTTCAAAGCGTATTGTTATTAGTTTTGTTAACTAACATTTGAACCAGAGCTGGGCAAGTCATAAGTTTTGCAAGTCATAAGTCAAGTCAGACTTGGCATGACTTGAACTCAAGGCATGTTTTACTTGACTTGCCCAGCTCTGATTTGAGCTTCTCTTGAGTATTCATTTCTTCAATAGAGAATCATTCGTTTTATTTTTTATATCAAAATAAGATAAAAAAAAGAATAGAAAAAAATGGAATGTATGAAAAAACAGAACGTTAAATCACCGGTATCTAAGATGGCAAACAAATAGCACTTTGTGTTGTGATAACAATTTGACCATTTCCATCTGATGATAATTGACATGGTAAAATAATAACACCGCCTAATGATTCTGAATAAACTAAAAATTGTGTATATTCTAATGATGAACCTCGTACATTAAATGTAATACGATCATTTGATTTTGGTACTTCTAAGGATTCAAATCGTTGTTTTGATACAGGTACCCATTTATTCAATTCACCTAATAATGAATATGAGGATACCGATGGTTGAGAGAATTGAAACACCGGTGATATATACCATAGACAAAATGAATTTTGATCATTTGTACCACACGCGTTTTTTGTTATCGATAATGAATTATTTGAATTGAATTTGATGAGTTCAAATGGATTATTCCATGACCATGCCACATAAGATAATGATAGATAAGGTACTGAAATTCCCAAATCTTGTGGATATATGTCATAATTCGATTTCATATTACTGGCAAATAATATATAAAATCGATATGGTGAATCATCTGGACCAACGGTTGAATATGTAGAATACAATTCACCTTGCGATGTTCCATCATTCATAGACCAATCTTGTAACAGTTTATCAATCATAGTCAATGGACGATTTGGTTTTAATATTAGACCATCTTCATTACAACATTTCATAATTCTGTCAACATCGAAATAACCTATACGATCACCTGGAGTTACAGGACCCATTGATAATGTTGATATTAGAATTTGTAAATCAGGATTTGGTTCAGAAGCATTTTTATAAGGATTTTGTGGTTGTTCAGATGTTGACCAAAAGACATCTTTATAGGGAGCAATGCCTAAAATAAAATAAAACCGAATATAAATTATAAATCACAAATAAAGTAGTGATAAAAGTGAGAAGATTGTGCGTAATCGATGGAAAATCTCATCATTTACGAAGAGACAAGCTAAAACAGATCAATAGTTAGAGTTCTATTCAATAGCAAGTTTCTCATGATGCAGGCAAGTCTGTCATATCCATGAAACAATTTGAAACGGCTAACGATCGTTAAAATGCGTTAAATACGTAAATATTTCATATTTAACGTATTTAAACGAGTTAAATTCTCAAAGATAACGCGGTCGAACGTGATGTCGATAAAGAAACGATGAAGACTACGTTTACACTCGATTAACTTCTAACAGAGAGGGACTAATTTTCTTTGATTTTGGCCCACTGTTTTTTTCGACTAATTTTGAATCGATTTTTGTAGAGAAAGCGATTTTACAAATTTTTCAGTTTATCTGAACCTTCATAACCATACAGAGAACTTTTTAAATTAATGTTTAGGAGGGGATGCACAAAAGATACCGGTGCTTAACAAAAACGATTCTGTTCAAAATCTGATATGAAGTTACGGTAAAGCTTGATATAGATAAATAACCAATGAAAAACTGAACAAAATGGTATATGAACGAACCATAGTTACGTACCATATTATTAAGGAGAAATAGTTTATTTTCAAGCGTCCCCTATTTGGTGACTATGTATGAGTGGTCATATTCACCCATTTTCTCGCATAAGTAAGAGAGAATCCAACTCGTCTTTAGTATAGAAAAATAGCTCTTGCAAAGCTGTATAACATTTAAAGTAAACAAACTCTACATATCATTGGCTCAATTCATTATCATTCAAATACGAGAAAAGTCAAGGAAATGCAGTCATATTTTGCAGTTTTCGCCATCAAATTTCAATTGTTTTTCAAAACTAACATCATATTTTGAATCACGTTAAAAAGCTGCATTGAACAATCTTTGTTTCGGAATTTTTAGACAATCCAGTTTTTAACGCTGATTCGAAATATGATGTTAGTTTTGAGAAACAATTGAAAATTTGATGATGAAAACTGCAAAATATGAGTGCATTTCCTTAACATCAAACATTTTTAGGTTGAAGAAAGACAATCAAAAATTTCGATCCAATCGTTAATACATTGTCTCTTCTATTTCTTCACAACTATTGACTCCGTAAGTTTTTTCTCAGACAATGGCAACAAAACCGACATAACATATTGATAAATTTTTTCTAAGATACTCACCAAGTGCATGAGCAAACATTGATGTAATGCCAATCTTCCATTGTGGACGATGGTCAACTAAATGCACATAATAATCGTCTGATACTCTTGCTTGTGTAACACGTGGAATTTCTACAGATTGTAAAGCATGTCGTGACAATGACATACAATATTGAATATTTAAGTTTTGTTCGTCAGCTGCTTTACCCATTGACATTAACCATTGTCTACCTAAACGAGCATCTACTCTTAAATAATTAAAATCAATTGTCTGATGATTCATCCAATCTTGTTCATACATTACTAAACCCCATTTTGTACGTGCAGTATAAAATAAATCTGTCCAAAAGGAATCATTACCAACTGGAAGAGATTTTTGATTTATTTTATCGATTAAAAAATCATATTTTCCACCATTATCTTTGGCATAGGTTGTATTCGATGCCCAATATCGATTATGAGCACCAATAGGTAATTGAACCTTATTATTAAGTTGAGCCATGCCATCAGGAAAAATATCTGGACGAGATTCCCATTCACTGACACCATCTCCGATACCCTTATAATAGAACCATGAATCATATTGAAAATATCTCACTGGTAAGCCAATTTCATGAATATGTTTTGATAGAGCCAATATTGTCTGTTGATAATTCAAATTCAGTTCTGTATGATAATAATAATAAGCACCATTGTCTGTATAATAGCCTAAAATCAAAGAAAACCTTTCTAAATAAACTAATAAAGATTTTACTCAAAACGGTGTAATAGACCGGACAACACCAAATAATAAGGACAATTTTCTTAACAAATTTATCATAAAGAAAAAGTTTTTTTAGAAGACAAAAGTATAAGCTGAATGCAAGAAATCTTGTTCTAAGTAAAATACAAAATCATTCGTTTTATTGCTTGATACATTATCGATACAACTTTGCACATTCAAATTGAATTCTAAATTGTTTACTTACCTAAATAATTAATGGTCACATCATTTAGTCTATCGTCGTCAGTTTTATTATAATATTTTCTCAATGTTAAACCCCAATTATGAACAGCATCATTAATTCCATTATTACCATAGTAGATAATAAATGAATTGGTGTAATTACTTGGTATTGGATCAATCGAGCCCATTACACCAAATTCAATGGAACCACCTGCCATACCACGATGACTTAATGATGTTGACATAAATTCACTGAATGATGATAATACAAGAACATGATTTTGTTGATCAAATATCACGAGTGGACCACCACTAATACCATCTTTGATGAATGCTGTCGTTGTATCCCATTTACCAGCATGTTTTTCTGTATCACCAAACATCATACCTAAATAAAAAAGAAACAAACAACAATGAAATATTAAGTTACATGTTTGGTATAAATTCGATCGAACTGCGATATTACCAATGTGTCAATCAATGTGACAATCATTATTAATGCGTGTAAAAAGAATGATCTGTTATAGATTACACATTTTTTCATTAGAAAATAACATAATCATATTAAACCGAATATACTCACTGTAAAACTAATTAGAGTGAAAAAAGGTCGACCAATGCACGATCCACAATATTCCATATCGAACATGTAGTCTGAAATATTTCACCACAATGTGAGTAACAATCTTAGCAAAATTTTGACTGTCTCATAATATCACAAAATCTCATAGAATATTCAAAAACTTTGAAACAATTTAGCACGATTGCAAGCCACAATGAGAATTTCGCCGACATTTTACTCACAATGTGGTGAAATATCTCAGAATAAATGTTCGATGTGAAATATTGTGGATGGTACACTAGTCTGCTTATTTTACCCTAATCATTTTTATAGTGTGTTACTGTCCAGAATCGAGAGTGGCTGCTCTACAGAAGTTCATATACAACAAGAATCGTTCAATCGGACATATAAGTGTTCATAATAAGCATCTGCGCACATGTGAAGAGTTTAATGTATTTATTCTTTTTAAGACGAGGCGAAAAGCTTGTGAACGAAAACGAACACTAGACCGTAATATAATCCACGATTAGCGATTTTATCTTCACACGCTTTTTTTTTTATTTTATGGTATAAAATGCTGTAAATATTTTTACAGTAATGAAGAGTTTGGATGTACAAACTTTTATGGACTCTCTAACTAACGAAAAAAGTCACTTGTTTACGATTAATGCTTATCAAGGTAATATTAATTAAACTTAAGTACATTTATGTTAGAATAACGGGTGGTCCAGATTAAATTGTCGGTTTTTAATAGGCTTCTTTCTCAAGTTAGACTCGACCAGAAAGTTTGATTCTGATGCTAAAAGATAGAGAATTTTGTGTAGATTTTATTGATATGTTTTTTTTTAAATAAGCATCTACCGTTCTTTCGTAGCATTAAAAGTACTAGATGCCACAAAAACATCATTTGCTCTAGAGATGTGCAACCCGACCCGAAGGTTGGTACTGGTACGAAGTTGTCGAGTACGGGTAAAGCAGTTACGCGTACAGGTTCTATTTTTTTTTAATCTACCCGAAAATTGGAAGATTCTAGTGGAAAAATTTTAGTAAAAAAATACAGGAGTTTAGCTAAAATACATGAAGGTTTAAAAAAGAATTACTTGAGAACGTAATGATAATTTGACATCTTCAGTCGAAAAACAAAAGTTTTTAGCTGGAAAACAAAAAGGAGACAATTTTTAGGGATAAGTTGGGTACGGGTACAAAGTTCTCGGATCGGGTCGGGTAAGGGTGGAAAAAAAATTTTCGGGTCGGATACGGGTACGAAAATGGTATCCGTGCACATCTCTAATTTGCTCAGCACTTGACTGGTATAAAATGTCATTTTTATTTACTAAATAATTTTCTATACGCTATTCAAATACACTATGAAAAAATACAGAAACGTATTTGTTTTTCAGACACAAACCAGGTTTACTATGTTGAAAACCGCCTACAAAGTATGCCTAACTATCTATTTTTGGCGTACTTTCATGTCAATGAAAACATTTCAACTTCGTCATTCGGTTAGAAAAGACGTCAGCCCTTATAAAGAAGAGCATTTTGTAGAGCTTTAAATTCTGCATCTGTTGACCTACAAAGGATAATTTTCACAAAGTCAAGTTGTGATAAAATTGCTAAAAAAAGTACGATGTCATGACCCGTGAATGTCTTTTTGATGTTTTGTAGTTTTCGAAGGAGAAGTAACTAAACTTATCAAACTCAACACAACACGCGATACACCAAAAAATTCTACATCTCTTACTACAAGAAAGGAATTTTTGAACTCAATCTAGCTGAACAAAATTGATTTTTACACGTTTTCGATTTTGTAGCTAAGCAAGTGATATTTTCGTGGCATCCAATACTTTTAATGCTACAAAAGAATGGTAGATACTTATTTTAAAAAGAACATATCAATAAAATCTACACACAATTCTCTATCTTTTAGCATCAGAATCAAACTTTCTGGTCGAGTCTAACTTGAGAAAGAAGCCTCAAAAACCGGCAATTTAATCTAGACCACCCGTTAACGGGTGGTCTAGATTCACTGGCATTTCAAGTCCAGAGCAATGATAGTCGGTAGTTTCCATGCCGTTTTCTAAACACTTGTTTCTCCACATCGCTTCAGGTTTTAGCAACCATTCATACACGATTAGATGGCCCCATTATGGAAGTATACTTGTCAACAACCGAAATATTAAAATATTTACTTTCGATTTTTCACCTAATGTCCGCCTGGATGCCCACTGTGCCGTTATAATGCCATTCTTTGACTTTTTTACGTTTTTTGTAAAACTAAGTATATTTAATATAATTGAAAACATGTTCGTAAAATTATTTTACATAAAAAGCAAGCTTTCGATACTTCGCAGTGTCATCAGCAGACTAATAGAAGAGAGATGATCATCTCTTCTCTAAATTCGACAGTCATATTAGCCGGATGATGATACTGTGAAGTATCGAAAGTTCGCTTTTTATGTAAAGTAATTTTACGAACATGTTTTCAATTATATTAAATATACTTAGTTTTACAAAAAACGTAAAAGAGTCAAAGTTATATGAGAAGTTACATCAAAAGTGACATTTTGATATCTGATAGAGAGTGGCAGGAGCACATCTAACTAAACCGTATGGTAATGGGTTAGAACTAATTGATACCTTTTCCCTATTCTCAAAAAGAGTATGAGGCTTGTTGTCTCGCTAATGTTAAGTTAAGGCTACTCTCTTGAGAGTGCCAGTCACACTTTCTAGTCTGGCGATTATTCAACGTTAGGAAGGCTAGCTCCTAGCAACTGTGTTTCTTTTGTTCGAATTTTATTCTCTTTATAAAAAAAAGAATGTTTTTCTTTTAGAAAAATCGATGTTAAAAGAAGACAGAAAAAAGACATAACTGATTTTCTGTGATCAAATTGGTTACAGATCAACTTGTTTGCTTCAACAATAACAGTTCAATGTAATTCGATTTTGAGTTATGTCGAAATCAAATGTTAAAATTGCCCTCTCGGCAGTTAAAAGTAACAGATGAATTTTTCTATTGTTAAATTATTTCATTAACTGATGCATATTGATAGTGTGATTTCAACTCGAAAAAAAACGATTGTAACGGCATCGTGATAGTTACACCCCTCCCGCTCTTTTTTCACCCTCTTCGGAAAGATAGAAAAAAGAAAAGTGATCAGGCTAAAAATTTTATCACTGATATTTCAGACCCTATCTCAGATTCTAAATTTTTCTTCGAAAACTATGCTTTCCTTCACGCGATAGTCAAAAAATGATGAAAATCTTTTGTAAAAGTGAGTTTTTGATTTTAAAAATCTTCTCAAGCTAAAAGTTGAAGTTAAAAACTCTTTAAAAAGATTTAGAATCTGAGATAGGGGTCTGAAGTATCTGTGGTAAAAAGTTGGATTCGATCCGATTAATTTCTCTAAGGATGGTGATGTGACCGAATTTGAACCATCAGTCTTTTCTTGATTACAGGTAACATTAAATTAGTCAGTTTTACTGTTGCTGGTAATAGGAATGTTCATAAAAAATGTGTACTAGCAACAGTAAAAACTCGAAAGCATTACTGTTACTGATAATAGGAATATTTAAAATATTTGGATTACTCGTAAAAGTAACCGTAATGTGCCATCCCTAATTCGACTCACTTATCTAAATCTTCTTTAAGGTTATATTTAAATTTTGAAATTTTTGTTAGATAATGAGAAGATTATAGACTACATTAGGCATGTAACAGTAACAGTAATTACCGGTTTATCGTTACCGTTTTACCGTAGTTACCAGTTACCGCTGCATGTCTAGACTACATAATTCTTTACCTCCGTATGAAATATATCCTCGTTTAATGTCATTTGATTGTATCATAAACGATGGAAATACTGTTCGAACTAAATCCATGCCTAGTTGCATTGTTCCACTAGATAATTCTTGATTAAAATCTTGATAAAATAAAATAAATTGTTGATTAAGATATGTTCGAATGCGTGTTGTGATGTTTACAGATGATAATTTCCATAAATAAATCATATCTTGCCAATTTCCAAATTCATCTTGCCCACTTAACATTGATGTACGAATTAGTGTGAGTGTATTATTTTCTGTTGAGTACCAATAATTATTTGCATAAAATGCTGTGCGACTAGATTGTAACCATTGCCGATTACCAATTGAAATATTGTACTCACCCGATGTGGACAATGAAATATGTAATTGATCATCATCTTTAATTTCTCCAAAAACAATTCCAGTAAGACTACACAAAACGAATAATATTGTTACTATTTTCATCTATAAAGGAAAAGATAAGAGCATAAAATATGCGTATAAGTTTTAAGTAGACATATATAGACCACAGATTTATTTAGAATAACAAACGAACAGGTGAAGAAGAGAACATTCGCATTATCATTGTGATAAAACAAATAATAAACATTCATGTTTTCTGAGAGAAAGAAGTATGAAAAAATGAAACAAATCTAAACGTTTTCCTTTTCACATTGTACTTAATTTTCATAATCTGAATTTAATAAATTCATAGTTACACTTGTATTATGCTCAGAAGCATAAGTAATATTTAGTGCCAATGGACCTGATCATAGCCTAGGCCAGTTAAAGTTCACGTTTCGTTTCTTGAACGTGAACACTAAACCACTGTAAAATAGAATACATCTTGATATTCTGACATAATTTGATTAAATCTTGACTGAGTTATAAATTTTTTGATTTTACTCAAAAATAGGCAGAAATGGGACATTTCATCCTAATCTACGTTTTCACCAGGTTTTTGAAATTTTTTTGAAAAATAAATGTTGCCACAAGATTTAGCATAGTCGATAACCTATGTTTTCATGCATTTCTAACAGTCTAAATCTAACGACAGAGAAGTCCTAAGGTTTCGAGAAAAAGGTCCGTAGCGCTCGAACCAAGCAAAACCAAACTTTTGCATAAATCTTATTTTGTAGAGAACACTTCAAACTATCTATCTACGAAAAAAAATAATCGATTACTATGGCGGTTTCTAGAAATCTGAGCTGGTTTTCCAAAGACCTTGTAGAAAACTGACCTTCTCAATGTTTCTGAAAGACGATTTTGCTTGCGCAAATATAGCTTAAACTGACTTCTTTTGATTGCTGGAAAGTGTACGTCTCTATCTCATTTTGTTAAAAACTTATTAAAAAAATGAGCCAGTGCACTGAATTTTTGAAACAGATAGTAATAAATATGTAGTCAAAACGAACAGAAATCCCATCGATCATACATTTTTCATTTTAAAAGTATAGAATGATAAGCACAATATAATAGACGTATAGTACTTGTTAGAACATTGATTAAAGTCTGGCAAGAATATTACTCTTTCAGGTGATCGCGTACCATGCTTTGCGATTTGCCTATAATGTTTACTCATGTTGTTTATAAATAGATTAAACTTAATATTGCTCTATAAATCCAACTGTTGACGTTCAGAGAATAGAATTAATCTATGCATACGTTAACCTCAAAATAATTTTAATTCCAGACAAGATGAACGTCGCTAGTATAATTTCACGTTCAGGGAACGTCAACGTGTTTTAGCGTTCACGTTCAAAGAAAACGCTAAAAAGAACGATGAATATTTTCAAGCCTATCATAGCCGACAAGGCCACAAGACTGGATAGTTAAGTTTTCTATCGAACTACCCTGAAATCAACTCTTCATAGCAAAAACGAAAGTTTTTACTGAAAGTTGAAAAAAACTTTGAAAATTTTCTAACAAAAGCTACAAGAACAGAAACCGAAAAACTTTTGGGAATATATACTGCGTAGTATCCTTTACAACCTGGTGCAAAAAGCAAATAGATGCGGGCCCCTCCTTGCGTCAACGCTTAGATTAGTCATTATTACTTCTTTTTTTTTTATGTATTGCATAAATTTCTACTCCATGACCTTTCGGTCCTAAGGGGACAACAAATCATAACATACATCAAAGAAAGAAAAAGAAATGAAAAGCAAAAAAGAAGGGACTTTAAAATCTCCTTAAAACGAATGAGGAAATTCTGCCAAACATCTTATATCATCAGGATCATAATCTGGGGTAGAATCGAGCAGACCATGATCTGATATCCAGTCTATAGCCATACAGAACACATCTTGTGCACAACAAATCTCTTTGATATTAGTCATTATCATTCTTAGATTACTTCGGCGTACTTATTAATTTAAGAATATTGATTAGACCATTTGATTCTACGTTTTGGAGATATGCCTTGTCTCCTGGTGAATATCTATCTAGGTGACAATGACTCATAAGATCATTAACAGATCCTTGTAGATCTTTTTATTTTATGATTAAACAGCGTCATTGAATGAATGTTTCGGCTTTAAGCAAGAATCAATGCGATTACAGTGAAGGAAATTTCCTTAAACAAAACTCAAACTACTCTGCTCGAAAAAAAACAAGTACTACGTCTATTCTGTTCGATATTAGTCACAAAAAGATTTTTTTCGAATTCACCTTATATTTTAACAGAGTTGTCAACTTGAAATTTTTCTAACAAATCGGTATACTATTTATTTCAAAATTAGTATAAATTAATCCCAAAATCATTAACTGATTTCAGTAAAGAAAAACTATAAAAATTGGCAACCCTGCCAGCCAACTGATTAACTGTTGGTGGAAAGAAATTTGAGAAAAAAAGGGCTTCATTATCGGTCTCTATAATATTTCGATTGATCACTATATTTTGACTAATGATCTCATCATTTAACCATAGTCACTTCTAGCGTATCATTTTACACTCAGTACCTTTAGCGAGAATGTTTAGCTGAGTGATCACGATGCACCTTATTTTTTGGCGCTAAGTGTACAGAGTGCATATCGGCGTTTTCATATAACTTTGGCAAGGGGATGGGAGGGGGAGTTTTACTGAGCCACTCCAACAAATTTTCTGAGTACCTTTTTTCTCATTTTTAGATCTTCAACGTTTCGGAGTGAGCAAATTTTTTTCTCAAGTGAGTAATTCATTTCAAACAACGAGGAGGATTTCTCCCTTCTTCCCGCTTAATCGAAATTACTGGTACACACGTTCCAGATCTGAAAAAAAACATTAGTATAGTATGAGGTATTATTTTTATTAGCACAGTAGACAAGCAAACTTGTTTGTTGTGATTTCCTTTGTGATTTTCACTTTTTCACTGTGTAACTAATTGTAACTATGATTGTGGCATAAATTTTGATTAAATTTAAAATTCTAACTGTGGTGTTAATTCCACAGTGGAAAAATTCATCATAGTAAATTTTTTTATTAAAAACACTGATGAGGATTCCGAACATAGTAATAAAACTATGTTCTTCTTCTTCTTTGTGCATAGCGTCATGATTTCAGATAAACCGAATCGATTAGAATTGATGTCAAACATTGCATAGCCATTTCAAGCAATTGCCTGCTGATTTTATCTTAGGCAAGTTGCACTCACTGTCCCGGAAAAGCATACTTTTAGAAAAAGCACACTTAAATTGTGCCAATGGCATGGAAAAAGTGTGCCAAAGTATGCTTTTTATGTGCTGCTAGTATGCTTTTTTATGTGCTGCTAGCATGCT